TCCGGCGTGAGAAGTAGTATTCGGTTTTAGAGAATAGGGAGAGATTATATTGGAATTCAAATAGTTCGAGTTTCAAGAAAAAACATACCTTTCTCACCTTAGGGGTATTTAAAGGCACATGATGCAACGCACTCATTCAACAGTTAATGGTGCCACGTGTCCCACGTAAATCTTCTCACTTTCCCTACGTTCTGATGGGGTGACCCCCACATCTTAAGCGGTTGGTTATACCTACGTTTACCGTTGAGAGGTTCCCATCCAGCTCATTGCCATTTGTATGGTTAAGTGTAGTGTTGGCCTCATTGGGGTCGACGGCGTATGTGAACGTAGAGAGCCTCATAGTGGTAGACAGTCATATGAACGTAGAGGGCCCATGGTGGTAGGCGACCTCATGGGGGTCGACAGCCTCATAGTGGTAGACGGCCTATCTGAACGTAGAGGGTCTCATGGTGGTAGACGACCTATGTGAACGTCGTGGTACTAAGCGGCCTCATGGGGGTCGACAGCCTCACGGTGGTAGGTGGCATCATAGTGGTAGGCGGCATATGTGAACGTAGAGGGCCTCATGATGGTAGGCAGCCTCATGGGAGTCGACGGTCTATTTGAACGTAGAGGGCCTCATAGTGGTAGACAGTCTATGTGAACGTAGGCGGCCTCATGATGGTAGACGGCCTCATAGTGGTAGACGGTCTATGTGAACGTAGAGGGACTCATGGTGGTAGTCGGCCTTATGGTGATAGGCGACCTCATAGGGGTCAACTGTCTATGTGAACATAAAGGGCCTCATAGTGGTAGACAATCTATAAGGATAGACGGCCTATCATGTGGTGCTCTACGTGGAATTCATATCAAGTAGTTCTCACCTCATTGGCCATCGTGAATAATTATTAATGTCATCTTATATCAGTGTGCTTGAACAATTGCACCCATCCAATGTTAAGGTTTACTTAAAAATTGCATTTTTGAAAGCTAATCCTAAGTTTTATTAGTCAAAAACGGTAACATTGAAAATCATACAAAATAAGTAACTTACAAGCAAAATCATATCAAACTTCTTGTTGATTAAACAAAAAAATATATATATAAGCTCAAAATCAATGATGAGGTCATAGTCATGGCAAAGGCAACCACGGCAGCCCACAAGCTTCCTAAACACAGTGTTCCCCAACGGCACCATCAATCCGGGTCATGGCCCTTGATTTTCTGTGCTTTTTCCAAGCATTGTTGCTTCGCCTTCACACTGTACGTGAAGCTTCTCGGATTCGCGTTCAGTTCCGGTACGATTTTGAGGCTCTCGAATGTTGCAAGCTCTTCGGTTACGATGCCGCAGTCGAGAAGTGCGGCTGAGGACGGTGAAGTGCATGAACTAGTTGGACCCAACCGGAGTGACTAGCGGGTCGGGTCCGGGTTGGCGAGGAACCGCTTTTGTTCTTTGTCTTTGGCCTCATTTTAAATGCAAAAATTAGTGAAAAAAGCGCAAAAAATATTGTTTTAGTAGTATTTAAGGAAAATACTTTTTTGGTCCTCCGAGGTTTGACACAATTTTGTTTGATTCCATATACTTTTTAAATGTGGCATTTTAGCGCTCATATATTGAAAACTCTTTCAACATAGTACCTCCAAATAAAAGTCAAATATTTATTGGGATATTTGAACGTGCATTACTCCGTAAATGAATAATTGAATAAAGATGGGCCAATTAGTTTCTGACCCTTTTAATGTGTTGATTACAAATGGATAAAAATAAATAAAAAATTATGAATTTTATTTTTGATCAATTTATAATGAATTCTCAAGTTCACCAAACATGCATACACAGACTACTCTGTCTGTTTACATTCAAACGATCGTTGGGTCCTCCCGCGAGTTTTAACGAGCGAAATCACAGCATAACCCCTTGAGCTCTCTCTCTCCCCTTCTCTTTAGCCATTTCTCTCTCTCTCTCTTTCTCTTGTCAATAATTCTTGCATTTAAATGTTTCTTCTTCTCCCTTTATAATCATGAATCATATCCCATTTGCGTTTCTTGATTTAGATATGCCATTATTAGGAGACTTTCTATTTGTGTTTCAATCCAAAATGCAAACTGGGGCTTTATGTTTTTCACTCAAATCCTGAAGTGGGTATTCTCAATCTGGGATCTTGTTCTGTTTTAATTGTCTTTTTCAGTGTATTTGGGAATAGAGATAGACGGCGTGTTTGTTCGTTGATTCAAGTTGATTCCAAAAGTTTTGATCTATTTCTTTGAAAAAATCAGAGATGTTAGCGAAATGTTAATTTTTTTGTAGATTCTTAGATTAATGTTAAATTTAAGTGATTTTTTTTTTTTTCCTGTTTTTACGTTTGTATTATCTGGAATTGTTGTTATTTTTGCCATATTCAAAACAAAGGGAAATTTGTATAGGAAAAAAAGTAGAGGAAAGGAAGATAAAGGAAATAAAAGTAAAAATTGATATGATATATAGATTTTATTAGAGGATATTTATACGCCTAATAACTATTTGACATGGAATTTTAGAGAGGGTTGGTTTGTTTTGTTTGTAGAATGGGAAGGGTCAAGTTAAAGATCCATAGATTGGAGAGCATGACCAGCCGGAACGTTACCTATGGCAAGCGAAGGGCTGGAATTTTAAAGAAAGCTCAGGAAATATCGGTGTTATGCGACATTGACATTATTCTCCTCATGTTTTCTCCTACTGGAAAACCGTCAGTTTTTCATGGACAACACAGGTACCGACCGAACACCTGTATATTACATTATGGTAATGTACTTCAAGCATGTGATTGAGTTTTTGTCTTTGTTTGGTTTGTAATTTTCTTGTCCATAAGAGTTGGATTTAGTTGTGAGTAGATCTTTTATAGTTGAAGGCATTAATCTCAAAATGAATAGGTAACGAGAGGAGAGTTCGTCCAATCATATATTGATTTCATATATGCAGGTCGATGTAGGTCATAGTGCATTTGAATGGGGTGCAAACTGTCAAACTCTGTACTTCCCCATACATGCGAGTATGGAGTAAGGATGAAGAAATCAAGAATAGGAATTGGGTGCAACTATGACACAAATATGAATAAAATGCAAAATAATAAGTAGCATTAAACAATTAATGAAGTGCTTGTTTGGGAGAAATTATAAGTTGCTGAAATTATAAATTGATGGAAATGAATGGTGGATAAGTGGATAGTATTGCGGATCCTACAAGTTGCGGTTAAAATTAAAGTTTGACTTTGACCTTTAAATTATAATGAGATTACAATTTAAAACGAAACAAGCACGAAATTATAATAGATGTGACTTTTCTTGTACTTTCGGAATCCCAACTCTGAAACCATATAAAAGCAGTTGACAATGAGTGGATAGCTGGCTCATGCTTGAATACTAGTTTGGAAAGAGTTAATTGAAGCGGGATAAGCTCTTGTAGTCTTGTTAGGCCTTTCCCAGTTATTTTATACCTCATTTATGTTAGTCTTGAGAGGCAGGAGAGGTGATTGGTGGGATGTCCAAGGAATTTGATACCAAAAAATTCACCTTACCTAATGTTTGTTGTTGGAAGAATTTTAATTAATCAAACAGGTAATGAAGATCACTAATGAGTATTATCTGGCATAGCTACAGTTACAAGTAGTGTGCTAGTTATAAACATTAGTTCTAGCTTGTTCTGATAATATGCGACCAGTGTAGACTATGAATAGGCTGCTAATTATTGGTCACTGTTGTGCATGGACCAAAGATGGGGTTAAATATTTATTAGTAGTTTTCTCTTTTGTCTTCAGCAATATTGATGAGATGATTGCAAAATATGCCCAACTATCTCCAAAAGAAAGGACCAAAAGGTAAAGTGCTATGTTTCTACTACATTGATTCTGTCAAATTGAAGTTCTATGCATGCAAAATAATTCCTTCTTTTTGGGTGGCTTCTTGTTTTGAGATTCGAACAGGAGGTTGGAGAGTCTCGAAGTAAGTTTGTTGTTTGAAGTCAACTATGTTTCCATTGTCATTCTATCCTTTTTCTTACTCGAAGGAAACTAAACATGATCATTTAGCATTCATCTATGTGATAGACTTTAAAGAGAAACTTTAAGAAGCTTGACCAGGATGTGGCTATTGAAGAGTTTTTGGATGCAAGGTACGAAATTATATAGGTTGGTTATATATATTTGACCTTAAGGTAATATCTGATTGACATTTTTTTCTTCTGCTTTTCCATTTTTCAGTTCTCCATCAATTGAGGTATTCATCATTTATCAATGGCAGCATCACTGCTATTATTGCATATTTCCTTCAAGTGTTAGTTTCATCTGGTCTTCATTGATTAATCTTTTCATGGTTGCTCATAGGAAATGCTCAACCTGGTAAAGATGCTGCAAGCTCAACTTACAGAAGTCCACGAAAGACTAAGGTAATCTCTAGAACTATTAGTCAATTATGTATTACATTTAGTTCAACTCTTCGATTATGATAGGAGTTCATGGTATTCAAAGTTCCAACTATCTCTGTTATAAAAACAAACTAAATGATTCAACCAACTTAAATTACTGATTTGTCTTTCTTCTGTGAATAAATAGGGCTTGAGTGTTTGAAAACTATGTCTTCTAATCACTTGCATTCAAGCACAAATTTACTCAAACAAAATCAAATTTCTCTAACTCGTTGCCTCGGTTTGCAATCTTAGAAATCGTAATTCACTCCAAATTCACTTTATTAGAGTATAGATCATATTTTCTCATAACAATGACTATCATAGTGATTGCTTTCATATTTTTCTCATAACAATGACTATCATAGTGATTGCTTCCTTTCATCAACTTCTATTTTTCCTCTGCAATCTTACAAAAATTGGTAAACTCAGTCGGTGAATTAGTTTAGTTATCTTAACTGTTTTTTGGCTGCAGCTTCTGGACAAATCCCGACAAAATCGAAGACATTGAACATCTCTGTCGGATGGAAAGTTCATTAAGGGAATCACTCAATAGAATTCACATTCTAAAGGTAATTTTTTTGGTTCTTAGTTCAGAAAATAAAGAGGCCTTCTGTAAGGTTTTGGCTGTGATTCTTAATATGATTATTTTGCATGGCATTATAAGCTAGTTTAATTTCCGGAGAATTTTCACAATATTTAGAGGATAATAAATAATATAAATGTTTACCGGGTGAAGTATACTGCATACTGCCTGAACTAGTGTAGATGGAGGCTAAGGACTGATAATTTGCAGCATATGTTCGTGTTACTTTTTTGAGTAGTTTGTTTGGATGTTGTCTGATCTTTTCTAACAGAAGTAACTGTCTAGACTTCGTTTCAGCTGGAGAACTTAGGGAATGACCAACTTATGCCATTAGCTTGCACCAGCCAGGTAAAGGAACAATCTTCTAGTGGAGAACTCTCTCTGTCTCTTTTTCTATCTTATTGCATTTTAGGTTTCTGAATGTGGTGACTTTGCAGTTTATAGAAATAGAAAGTATATATTATTTGGCTAATATCTGATGGACTTGCATGACAGGTTGAATATGGCATGCATTTTCCCCCGATAACAGGTGGTGATCAGGGTGGCCAAACGCAGTCGTGGTTTCCAAATGTTGAGGGGCAACATATGATGCTACCAGATGAATCCCACTTCTTGTCTTGTAGGTGAGTAGATTTCTGTATTCCTACAAATTTTTAAAAAAATTGTCACCCGTTTAAGATTAGGTGCAGTTGTGATTTTTGTAGTAGTTCATCAATTAGATTCATGATCTATGTTTGTGTGAATGATAGCAGTTTGAATGTCATTACCTTTCTGAATTTCCCTGAATAAAGTATTTCCACTTTTGTGTTTTTCACATTATCAAAGTTGCAAATGCAAGGTTTAGCAATCAACTTTACATTACATATCCAGGAACAACGATGGACAAGCATACAATTTTGTACTATCAGTCGTGTATCAAACTAGGAAATTCGATTTTGTTACAAAGGATTTTATCTTCTAAAATTATGATTTTATTAAGAAAAAGCTCGTGAATATATTTTAACAATCTTGCTGAACTAGCATACTATGTGTTATACAATCTCTTTAATTCCTGTTCTTGCTCTGTAGAGATATAGAGTGTTCCATAGATACATCCCTTCCAAGCTGTTCGGGTTTATTTGGTGTCAAGAAAGAAGACGACAACAATTCAAAACTTGTGGATATTGAAAGACAAGATGGGATTACCATTAATGACTATACTGAAAGTTCTGCTCAAAAGAGACTACCTCTAGGCGAGCAATATTCATACCATTCGTACGGGAATTTAAGTTTGCCAGAAATGATGGAACCTGAAAGAGAGGTGAATTTTCAAGCGAGTTCCATGGATTATCAAATTAAGCCTGAAAGAGAGAGGAAGTAAGCGAGTACTATGGATTATCAAATTAATGGCAATTTTGAACTGCCAAGATCCATTTACAATGATTTGCAACATAGTATGGTACCAGCATCCGGCCCTTCTGTCCTGTTTAACATTAATGATAACTCATATCAACAGGTGAGTTTCCTTCTCCATTTATGACATTTTTTTAGCAGAATTTCAATAATAATCTGCTTCTTCTTTTGTACTAATTCATGCCAAGACTATAACTTTTTTTTAATCTGTTTTAACCATGATACATAATAATTAGCTCATATTGTCATGGCATAATATTTCCGGGATGAAGAATGCATATGAAAAATGATAAACTTCGTTTTTTTGTTAACATGCATAGAAATTGGATATTAACAGTCTCAAGAAATCAAAGTCACGTTATTAATGAACCGGACATTTTTTCTGTGAAAAGCCTGATTTAATTGCATAATTATTCGATGATTCACTTTGTTTCCCTTGTAGATTGACATAAAGGAGTACATTTCACTGCACTTTCATAATATTCTTTAACTTATCTTCCTCCATAGATTGACACAAAGGGATGTCTACCCTGAATACTGAATTTTATTATGGTGAATTGAGATAATATTGCTGCCATTTAGCTACAGTTTAATCAAATCTTTTCAAATGAGAAAGACATCCTGGGATTATATGTTAGCTGTTATATATGACTTGTTGAAGTAATATGTATTTTGCAGCCACCAAACCACTTGAACAACTAGCTGAAAGACTCATTCCACGTCTCACACAAATTTGGTAGCACTTTTGAGAGTCGTTTCAAATTTTCATTCGAAATTAAATTCATAATATAGCTCGAGACATTGGCTCTGTGCCTCGTTCAATTGTTTCAGGTTACTGAGACATTTGCTGTACACTAAACACGTCAATAGAAAATAAGAGCTTTCTTTGTATAAACAGTGATTTTCTTTTACTGTTTTTCTTTAGGCAAGTTTTTGTTCAGTCGTCACTCCAAAAATATACCAAGCCAATGTGTGTGTAGTTAGTTTTCTACTTGTTCCTAGTGAAACTGTTTCTATTTGTGAATAATTTAGAGACGACTATGCCATTGGAGTTCCATGTACATCGAAGGCTCCTTGTTTACAAATACGGATATTCACTCAAGTTACATATAAGAAAGATGATCTTTCATTTCATGTAATTTCATCTCCAATATGTAAAAATTAACTACTGAATGTCTGGACAATTGTGTTGTGCCATGGGTCTGAGAGGTGCTGCAACAGGTTCTCAAATGGCCCCTTCCCAGTCACGTTGTGCTGGACCACAAATCCCAAGAACGCCAACATTGCAAGTCTTCCTGCAAAGTACTCCACACAATTAGTATACAATAGCGAAAATCATTCCGATGGCATGTTTGGCATGTCGGTAGATAGAATGACGGATTTTGTCACTTGTTTATCATACTTTTAATGTTATATATATCCAGTCTAACGTACAAAACATTTGGGGGAAAGATATGTCTGGTTCGAGTAGAGTGTTCTTGTCTTACCGTTTGCAAGCTCTTTCTCCTTGGCCTCCTCGGTGGGGGTGAAGTTCAAGGGGTTGAAAATGCCACCAGGGTATCCAACTTCATTTGGAGGCAAGCTGTAGTTCTTGAAAATGGGATCTTGGTTAACACTTCCGGGGTTCTTGATGTCTTGCCACCTTCTGATCTCAACGTAGTGAAACAAAATGAACTCGATCACGAGAAGGGTCGAGGACGAGGCAAAGTACTCGGATTTTCCAGCATCGTACCATTGGGGAACATTAATGATGCCAATCTTGGTGAAAACTTCAGGTAATAGCATCCCAGTAACACCCAACATTGCCCACCTGCTATTTACTAGCTCTGCCTGGATATACCATTTCAAATTCTCTGGATCCTCAGCAAGTCCCAGTGGATCAAATCCATTGTCACCTGGAAGACTGAAAAAGCACACCCAAGATTGATTAATTATCCAGAAAACATATATTAAAGTACGAGCACAACATGTGCGATGCACAATATTAGATCAAAGAGAATATTTTAACTTCTTTTTCAAACATGTTTGTATAGCATAAACTTATCTCTTATTTACACTAAAGTACCACAAGGTTTTAGTTAGATTCGAAGCTCACTCAATTAAAATTTATTTGAGAATCTTAAAATCAAGCCAACGCAAATCTCTACTCAACTAAGTTTACGCCTCTACTAACACGAGAAGCACATCTATGTCACGAGATTAATAAATGTAACCAGATTGAGTCACATACCTGCCATCAAGATAAGTAGGAGAGGCCAAGCCGGGTAGCCATTCACCTTTCTTGGCTTCGACTTTGAACGATTTGTAGAACGAAGAAGTTGCCGGTTTAACCGACACTTCTCGGTTCAATTTCCCAGAGGATCCATTCAAAAACCGGGTTTTTGATGTGCATGGCCGGAAAGCGGCAATTGAAGCTTGTGTTGCGGCCATTTCAGGAAAATGTAGTAGATGAATTGTGCTAAAGATGTAGCTATTTTTGTATGCCTTTTCAATGACAATGTTGTGGTGCAGACTCAATACGAAATGTGAACTGATGATTTGGCAGATTTTTGGGATTCAACGGCTGAGATTTGTTTGTGAATTTCAGATTAGCCAATGGGAATTGAATTCTCTTATCCTTATATCTTTAGCCATATCCACAAATCTATTTCTTTGCTGCTGTTGGCTTTATAAGATCGTGTGGGACCCCTCGGATTGCCACGCGGAATGTACAGATTGGAAGATCTTGCCTGTGTGGAATCTCTTTCCTCCAATCCATTCATGACAGGTGTTAAATCTGAAGTTTAATCTATCAAAGGATATCTTGATGAGAAAAGATATACCTACAGATAAATCAATTACAGAAACTTTACAGAAACATTAATTTCCAAAAATACCCTTTATTCATAATTTGCAAATAGGAGCCACCACAAGTATTTAAAAACTACAATTAGGGTCTCCATAAAATTTAAGAAACAAGAAAACCTATATACTATATAATATAATTCCGCGCTGCACACTCCGGTGCCCAATTGGTATCAGAGCCATGTTAGATCATGGAAATTGAAATAATTAAAAATAATTGGTACTATATATTAAGAGAAAAAGATGGTTTAAGTTATAT